CCCTCTCTCTCCAAGTGAGGTTCTTACCCTCATTACCTCTGCCCGCCCTACCACCTGTCCTCTGGACCCTATCCCTTCAAACCTCCTTCAGACTATCGCTCCTGATATTCTACCGTTTCTCACCCATTTCATCAACACTTCTCTAACTTCTGGTCACTTTCCAAACAGTCTCAAGGAGGCAAGAGTAAACCCTCTCCTAAAGAAACCTACTCTCAACCCGTCTGATGTTATAAACTACAGGCCTGTCTCTCTCCTCCCGTTCCTGTCTAAATCACTTGAACGCGCTGTCTTTAAACAACTCTCCTGTTATCTCCATGAGAACAACCTTCTGGATCCGCACCAGTCTGGTTTCAAGGCAGGTCACTCCACAGAAACTGCTCTCATTGCTGTCACTGAGGAACTGCACACTGCTAAAGCAGCCTCCCTCTCCTCTGTCATCATCCTGTTGGACCTGTCTGCTGCATTCGACACGGTGAATCATCAGATCCTCCTTCGCACTCTCCAAAAACTTGGAGTTTCAGGCTCTGCACTTTCCCTCCTCACCTCATATCTGAAAGACCGTACCTACAGGGTGACTTGGAGAGGGTCTGAGTCCGACCCTTGTCAATTAACTACAGGGGTCCCTCAGGGCTCTGTTCTTGGTCCCCTCCTCTTCTCCCTGTACACAAACTCGCTCGGATCAGTCATTAGCCCGCATGGTTTTTCATACCACTGCTACGCTGACGACACCCAATTAATTCTGTCCTTTCCCCGCTCAGAGACCCAGGTCGTCGCACGCATCTCTGCTTGTCTAGCTGACATCTCTCAGTGGATGTCTGCTCATCACCTCAAGCTCAACCTTGACAAGACTGAACTGCTTTTCCTTCCGGGAAAAGATTGTCCCACTCTTGACCTAACAATCAACATCGGCACCTCAGTTGTTTCCCCGACTCAGACTGCAAGGAATCTGGGTGTGACCCTAGATAACAACCTGTCCTTCACTGCAAACATTGCTGCTACAACCCGCTGCTGCAGATACACGCTTTACAACATCAGGAAGATACGTCCCCAGCTGACACAGAAAGCGACGCAGGTTCTGGTCCAGGCTCTCGTCATCTCTCGCCTACTGCAACTCCCTCCTGGCTGGTCTACCTGCATGTGCCATCCGACCTCTGCAGCTCATCCAGAATGCAGCGGCTCGTCTGGTCTTCAACCTACCTACATTTCCCCACACCACTCCGCTCCTCCGCTCCCTTCACTGGCTTCCGGTAACTGCTAGAATCCACTTCAAGACACTGGTACTTGCTTACCATGCTGCGAATGGATCTGGCCCTTCGTACATCCAGGACATGGTTAAACCGTACACCCCAGCGCGTGCACTACGCTCTGCATCAGCCAAACGACTCGCTGCGAGGGGGACCCAAGTTCCCATCGGCAAAAACACGTGGGTTTGCTATCCTGGCTCCAAAATGGTGGAATGAGCTCCCCATTGACATCAGGACAGCAGATAGCTTGCACATCTTCCGGCGCAGACTGAAAACTCATCTCTTTCGACTCCACTTCGAGCGATAGAACTTTTAACAAAGCACTTATATACTGATAAAGGACTGGCTTATCTAAAGCCAGTTGAGTAGCACTTGAAATTTTTTGGCTCTATGAAACCTGATGTACTTATATGATTCGGTTTTCTTCAAGGTTGTGTCTTCCTGGTCGAATGTACTTATTGTAAGTCGCTTTGGATAAAAGCGTCAGCTAAATGCAATGTAATGTAATGTAATAATGTAATAGACAGCGGCGTGTCTTATATACACAAGCCAACATGTTGGCTAGAAAATTCTCTTGGTGTTCAGATAAGGTTAAGGTGAACCTCTTTAGAGCTTATTGCACTCCTCTCTATACTGCCCCCTTGTGACTCAAGTATAAGAAGGCGAGCCTCCGGAAGCTCCAGGTTGCTTATAATGATTGTTTGCGCATACTGCTTAGAAAACCAAGGTGGTGCAGTGCAAGTGAAATGTTCTGTAATGCACGAGTCAACACGTTCCATGCTCTTTTGAGAAATCTAATGTACAAATTCATCTGTCGATTGAATGTTTCTCATAACTCTGTAATTATGCTGCTCTCAAATCCGTGTTTCAGTGCTGTACGATACCAGTCACCTCTGTGGAAACATTGGTATAACTGCCTTTTTTAATTTATATTTGAGTGTTGTATTTCTTTTAATAATGGACCAAGAAATAAAGCAGATGATGATGATGATGATGAAAGGAACAATAAATATGCCATGTTGTGTTTTTGGTGGTTTTTGGTTGTCAACCTATTTTTGTTTGTGAAATGTTGAAGTGATCCAGCTGACTGTATCTCTATTTATTCTGTTTTTGTTTTGTTTTTGTCTGAGATGGGAATCTCATCTCCTATATGTTATTGTTATGTCCATGTTTGTGTCTTTAGCCCCTACAACATTTTTCTTTTAAGTAAATAAAAAAATGTAATAAAAAAAAAATTGGCGGCCCACTTGCAACGCCTCCATGGACAACTAGGGGGCCGTGGCCCACAGGTTAGGAACCCATGGTGATGGAGAGGTTATGAACCTGGGTTCTGCGTTTGTCACTGACGAGGGGCCAGAATAAGGGCCGTTGCGATAGGAGTGCGGTTGTGGGTTTGATCCCAGCCCGTCAACATGTGGAAGTACAGTCTATTTAACACTAGAACCGCCAACGGGGTCAATTTGACCCAGAGCTGTTTTTTATTGTATGTAACTTTTTTTCAATAACATATTAAAGTCTCCCAGTCCGTGACTTTTCCTGAAAGTATGTTATGTAGCACCCTATGTTGTTAAAAATTGTCAATATGAAGTCAGATTGAAGAAATCGGCAAAATAATTATCATTTATACCTATTTCCGCCAAGCGGGTCATATTGACCCCACCCCTTTTCGCGCTATTGCGTGTAAACAAACATGACGTGTTGCTATAGCAACGCCTTTTGTCTACTGCAGTTCCTTATAGATTGAGAGATAGATTGAGAGAGAGAGAGAGATAGATTGATAGCGACAGTCTGTAGTGAAGGAGCGGGCTCCCGCTCACGGGAGACTGCCTGCACTGCGCTCCGCAGCAAACAGCTGTTTGTTTTTCACCCAACAAGGACAACCGCCTCACGAAACCCTATGTTGTACCGTTAATAAACGAAACAATTTAACAAAATTGCTTGTCAAAATACCAATACCACAGGACCATTTTTCTTTGAAAAGCAATACATTCTAATGCTGGGTCAATTTGACCCAGGTGGCGGTTTTAGGTATTACATTACATTACATTACATTACATTGCATTTAGCTGACGCTTTTGTCCAAAGTGACTTACAATAAGTACATTCGACCAGGAAGACACAACCTTGAAGAAAACAGAATCATATAAGTATATCAGGTTTCATAGAGCCAAACATTTCAAGTGCTACTCAACTGGCTTTAGGTAATCCAGTCCTTTATTAGTATAAAAGTGCTTCGTTAATCGTTCTAACGCTCGAAGTGGAGTCGAAAGAGATGAGTTTTCAGTTTGCGCCGGAAGATGTGCAAGCTATCTGCCGTCCTGATGTCAATGGGGAGCTCATTCCACCATCTTGGAGCCAGGATAGCAAACCCACGTGTTTTCGCCGATGGGAACTTGGGTCCCCCTCGCAGCGAGGGCGCAACGAGTCGTTTGGCTGATGCAGAGCGTAGTGCACGCGCTGGGGTGTACGGTTTAACCATGTCCTGGATGTAGGAAGGGCCAGATCCATTCGCAGCACGGTAAGCAAGTACCAGTGTCTTGAAGAGGATTCTAGCAGTTACCGGAAGCCAGTGAAGGGAGCGGAGGAGCGGAGTGGTGTGGGAGAATTTAGGAAGGTTGAAAACCAGACGAGCCGCTGCATTCTGGATGAGCTGCAGAGGTCGGATGGCACATGCAGGTAGACCAGCCAGGAGGGAGTTGCAGTAGTCTAGGCGTGAGATGACGAGAGCCTGGACCAGAACCTGAGTCGCTTTCTGAGTCAGCTGGGGACGTATCTTCCTGATGTTGTAAAGCGTGTATCTGCAGCAGCGGGTTGTAGCAGCGATGTTTGCAGTGAAGGACAGGTTGTTATCTAGGGTCACACCCAGATTCCTTGCAGTCTGAGTCGGGGAAACAACTGAGGTGCCGATGTTGATTGTCAGGTCAAGAGTTGGACAATCTTTTCCCGGGAGGAAGAGCAGCTCAGTCTTGTCAAGGTTGAGCTTGAGGTGGTGAGCAGACATCCACTGAGAGATGTCAGCTAGACAAGCAGAGATGCGTGCGACGACCTGGGTCTCTGAGCGGGGAAAGGACAGAATTAATTGGGTGTCGTCAGCGTAGCAGTGGTAAGAAAAACCATGCGGGCTAATGACTGATCTGAGCGAGTTTGTGTACAAGGAGAAGAGGAGGGGACCAAGAACAGAGCCCTGAGGGACCCCCGTAGTTAATTGACAAGGGTCGGACTCAGACCCTCTCCAAGTCACCCTGTAGGTACGGTCTTTCAGGTATGAGGTGAGGAGGGAAAGTGCAGAGCCTGAAACTCCAAGTTTTTGGAGAGTGCGAAGGAGGATCTGATGATTCACCGTGTCGAATGCAGCAGACAGGTCCAACAGGATGATGACAGAGGAGAGGGATGCAGTTTTGGCAGTGTGCAGTTCCTCCGTGACAGCAATGAGAGCAGTTTCTGTGGAGTGACCTGCCTTGAAACCAGACTGGTGCGGATCCAGAAGGTATAACAATTCTCTGGCGGTTCTAGTGTTAACATGTTTACTGTTGTGGTCGGTTCATCCTCTATAGAAAAAACATGTATTATTATTATCGTTGTTATCTTTGCTATTGTTGAATGTCCTCATAAAGAAGAACAGCAGCTTCCTGTTTCCTGTCCAGCTGTGAGAGTCATCACAGTCTGTACCAGTCTGTTCATTGTGCTTTACCAGTGTGTGTGTGTGTGTGTGTGTGTGTGTGTGTGTGTGTGTGTGTGTGTGTGTGTCTGTCTCACCAGTCTCCTGATCTCTCTCTCACACTCCCTCTTGGTTCGGTTCAGCTCCTCCTGGTGTTGGTGATAAGCTGATCTGAGCTCTGCTGCTCTGGTCTGTCCCGCCTGTTGAGCCGAGCTCAGAGCTTCCTCTGCGCTCCTCTTAGCGCCCCTCAGGTCCTGGATCTCCTGATGGAGGCGACATCGCTCCGAGTCCCAGATCCTTCTGGACTCCTCCGCCTCCAGGTAGGGGGGCCTCACCTGGGGGGGGGGGGGGGGGGTCAGAAAGGTGAGAGACAGACAGGTAGAGGGATGGGGGGCCTCACCTGTGGGGAGTCAGAAACATAACAGAAAGACAGGTACAGGTGTCTCACCTTGTCTGTAGTCCTGTCCCTCAGAGTCAGAACCATGGCAGACAGACAGGTACAGGTGTCTCACCTTGTCTGTAGTCCCGTCCCTCAGAGTCAGAACCATGGCAGACAGACGGGTACAGGTGTCTCACCTTTTCTGTAGTCCCGTCCCTCAGAGTCAGAACCATGGCAGACAGACAGGTACAGGTGTCTCACCTTGTCTGTAGTCCCGTCCCTCAGAGTCAGAACTATGGCTGAGAGACAGGTACAGGTACAGGTGTCTCACCTTGTCTGTAGTCCCATCCCTCAGAGTCAGAACCATGGCAGACAGACAGGTACAGGTGTCTCACCTTGTCTGTAGTCCCGTCCCTCAGAGTCAGAACCATGGCAGACAGACGGGTACAGGTGTCTCATCTTGTCTGTAGTCCCGTCCCTCAGAGTCAGAACCATGGCAGACAGACAGGTACAGGTGTCTCACCTTGTCTGTAGTCCCGTCCCTCAGAGTCAGAACTATGGCAGAGAGACAGGTACAGATACAGGTGTCTCACCTTGTCTGTAGTCCCGTCCCTCAGAGTCAGAACCATGGCAGACAGACAGGTACAGGTGTCTCACCTTGTCTGTAGTCCCGTCCCTCAGAGTCAGAACCATGGCAGACAGACGGGTACAGGTGTCAGTGTGCATCTGGACCCGGTAACGACATTACCTATTGACGCAGCAACCACTGTAAGTTATATTCTTGTTTAATTAGACTTCTCTGTTTCATTTATTCGACTCTGTATAAATTGTTATTGTAGCGTAAACGGCTAAATCGCGTTTGAGAGATTTAAAATAACAACCTAGATAACAACCTGTCCTTCACTGCAAACATTGCTGCTACAACCCGCTGCTGCAGATACACGCTTTACAACATCAGGAAGATACGTCCCCAGCTGACACAGAAAGCGACGCAGGTTCTGGTCCAGGCTCTCGTCATCTCTCGCCTACTGCAACTCCCTCCTGGCTGGTCTACCTGCATGTGCCATCCGACCTCTGCAGCTCATCCAGAATGCAGCGGCTCGTCTGGTCTTCAACCTACCTAAATTTCCCCACACCACTCCGCTCCTCCGCTCCCTTCACTGGCTTCCGGTAACTGCTAGAATCCACTTCAAGACACTGGTACTTGCTTACCATGCTGCGAATGGATCTGGCCCTTCGTACATCCAGGACATGGTTAAACCGTACACCCCAGCGCGTGCACTACGCTCTGCATCAGCCAAACGACTCGCTGCGCCCTCGCTGCGAGGGGGACCCAAGTTCCCATCGGCAAAAACACGTGGGTTTGCTATCCTGGCTCCAAAATGGTGGAATGAGCTCCCCATTGACATCAGGACAGCAGATAGCTTGCACATCTTCCGGCGCAGACTGAAAACTCATCTCTTTCGACTCCACTTCGAGCGATAGAACTTTTAACTAAATCGCGTTTGAGAGATTTAAAATCTCAGATCTGCTCAGGCGAAACCTGCTTTACAGGTCTCAGCACTCAAGCCTGCATTAATATAGGCACGGCCAGTCTATTGATAGAGTGAAGTACAACCGCGTGACTCAGTCATTGTGTACCTTAAAAAGCATTTAAATACCGCATTTAAAATCTGATGAACTCAGTGTGCATCTGGACCCGGTGACGACATTACCTATTGACGCAGCAACCACTGTAAGTTATATTCTTGTTTAATTAGACTTCTCTGTTTCATTTATTCGACTCTGTATAAATTGTTATTGTAGCGTAAACGGCTAAATCGCGTTTGAGAGATTTTAAATCTCAGATCTGCTCAGGCGAAACCTGCTTTACAGGTCTCAGCACTCAAGCCTGCATTAATATAGGCACGGCCAGTCTATTGTCGCCCATCAGCTTTAGATAGTTAACTAATTAGAGGGCCGTGGCCCTACAGCTGTGAGAACTGAGCAATCAGGCGTCCATTTCGGGTAGCTCTTTCCTGGAGCGTCAGCTTCAGCGTCAGACAGCCGAAGACTGACAAAGACATTGGAGTCCTGCGGGAGTCACGAGGGAGGCAAATCCTACTCTGATCGAGCTGGTGTCTTATTTCTCTTTTCTTTAGTTTTCTAGCCCCACATGCTATAATCATGTGTATTTTCTCTATTCCTGTTCATGTGTCTTCTCGCAATTATCCCTGGCCCAGTGTATCTCCTAATCGATATAACCGGCCTGCTCTCGTCTATCCCACGTGCTCCACTGAGATCCAACATCTAGTTTCTGGTGGCCTGTGGAATTGCCAGTCAGCTGTTCCTAAGGCTGACTTCATCTCTGGCTACGCCTCCCTGCAGTCTCTGGATTTCCTTGCTCTCACTGAGACCTGGATTACTCCATCCAACACATCCACCCCAGCAGCTCTCTCCACTGCATATTCCTTCTCCCATACACCCAGACCCACTGGCAGAGGAGGTGGCACTGGTCTCCTGCTCTCTCCCAAATGGAGCTTTTCCCTCTTCAAGCTACCTAACTTCACTCCTTTCACCTTTGAATTCCATGCCGTCACAGTAACCCATCCTATACAGTTAACCATTGTTGTTCTCTACCGTCCACCAGGCGCCTTGGGGGACTTCTTGGAGGAATTAGATAATCTCCTCTCACTCATCCCTGAAACTGGCCCTCCCGCTGTACTTCTCGGAGACTTCAACCTCCAGACGGGGAGGATAGACAAACTAACATCTCTGTTAACCGCCTTTGCTTTCTCACTGTCTACGTCCCCACCGACTCATAAAGCTGGCAATGTCCTTGATCTCATATTCTCAAGGAACTGCGCTACTTCTAACCTCTCTGTAAACCCGCTCCACACATCCGATCACTTCTTCATTTCATTATCTCTATCCCTTTCCAAACATAACAAACTAATCTCTTCTCATCCTGCACTTGTCCGCCGTAACCTTCGCTCCCTCTCCCCCTCTACCTTTGCCTCGTCGGTGCTCTCAGCCCTCCCTTCCTCTGATTCGTTCCATCTCCTGCCTCCAAACTCTGCTGCAGAAACTCTCCTCTCTACTCTCTCATCCACTCTGGACTCGCTCTGTCCTCTCACATCTCGGCAGGCTCGTCAGTCCCCTCCTGCTCCCTGGCTAAATGATGCACTGCGTGCTAATATAACCGTCCTTAGGGCAGCAGAGCGGAAATGGTGGAAATCCAAACACTGTGACGACCTCCTAACCTATCAGGCTCTCCTCTCCTCTTTCTCTGCTTCGATCTCTCAGGCAAAAAGCACTTTCTTTCAAGATAAGATCCAATCTTCCTATTCCAATCCTAAAAAACTATTTTCCATCTTCTCCACCCTCTTGGACCCTCCAAAAGCTCCTCCCCCCTCCTCACTTCTGTCAAGCGACTTTGTTACCCACTTTGAAAAAAAGGTTGATGATATTCGCTCTTCTTTTTCTGACTCACCTTTACTCACCGCTGGGTCACCAGACCCTCCTTCCACCAACACACTTACCTCCTTTTCCCCTCTCTCTCCAAGTGAGGTTCTTACCCTCATTACCCCTGCCCGCCCTACCACCTGTCCTCTGGACCCTATCCCTTCAAACCTCCTTCAGACTATCGCTCCTGATATTCTACCGTTTCTCACCCATTTCATCAACACTTCTCTAACTTCTGGTCACTTTCCAAACAGTCTCAAGGAGGCAAGAGTAAACCCTCTCCTAAAGAAACCCACTCTCAACCCGTCTGATGTTATAAACTACAGGCCTGTCTCTCTCCTCCCGTTCCTGTCTAAATCACTTGAACGCGCTGTCTTTAAACAACTCTCCTGTTATCTCAATCAGAACAACCTTCTGGATCCGCACCAGTCTGGTTTCAAGGCAGGTCACTCCACAGAAACTGCTCTCATTGCTGTCACGGAGGAACTGCACACTGCCAAAACTGCATCCCTCTCCTCTGTCATCATCCTATTGGACCTGTCTGCTGCATTCGACACGGTGAATCATCAGATCCTCCTTCGCACTCTCCAAAAACTTGGAGTTTCAGGCTCTGCACTTTCCCTCCTCACCTCATACCTGAAAGACCGTACCTACAGGGTGACTTGGAGAGGGTCTGAGTCCGACCCTTGTCAATTAACTACGGGGGTCCCTCAGGGCTCTGTTCTTGGTCCCCTCCTCTTCTCCCTGTACACAAACTCGCTCGGATCAGTCATTAACCCGCATGGTTTTTCTTACCACTGCTACGCTGATGACACCCAATTAATTCTGTCCTTTCCCCGCTCAGAGACCCAGGTCGTTGCACGCATCTCTGCTTGTCTAGCTGACATCTCTCAGTGGATGTCTGCTCACCACCTCAAGCTCAACCTTGACAACACTGAGCTGCTCTTCCTCCCGGGAAAATATTGTCCCACTCTTGACCTAACAATCAACATCGGCACCTCAGTTGTTTCCCCGACTCAGACTGCAAGGAATCTGGGTGTGACCCTAGATAACAACCTGTCCTTCACTGCAAACATCGCTGCTACAACCCGTTGCTGCAGATGCACGCTTTACAACATCAGGAGGATACGTCCCCAGCTGACTCAGAAAGCGACTCAGGTTCTGGTCCAGGCTCTCGTCATCTCACGCCTAGACTACTGCAACTCCCTCCTGGCTGGTCTACCTGCATGTGCCATCCGACCTCTGCAGCTCATCCAGAATGCAGCGGCTCGTCTGGTTTTCAACCTTCCTAAATTCTCCCACACCACTCCGCTCCTCCGCTCCCTTCACTGGCTTCCGGTAACTGCTAGAATCCACTTCAAGACACTGGTACTTGCTTACCATGCTGCGAATGGATCTGGCACTTCCTACATCCAGGACATGGTTAAACCGTACACCCCAGCGCGTGCACTACGCTCTGCATCAGCCAAACGACTCGTTGCGCCCTCGCTGCGAGGGGGACCCAAGTTCCCATCGGCGAAAACACGTGGGTTTGCTGTCCTGGCTCCAAGATGGTGGAATGAGCTCCCCATTGACATCAGGACGGCAGATAGCTTGCACATCTTCCGGCGCAAACTGAAAACTCATCTCTTTCGACTCCACTTCGAGCGTTAGAACGATTAACGAAGCACTTTTATACTAATAAAGGACTGGCTTACCTAAAGCCAGTTGAGTAGCACTTGAAATGTTTGGCTCTATGAAACCTGATGTACTTATATGATTCTGTTTTCTTCAAGGTTGTGTCTTCCTGGTCAAATGTACTTATTGTAAGTCGTTTTGGATAAAAGCGTCAGCTTAATGTAATGTAATGTAATGTGTCTCACCTTGTCTGTAGTCCCGTCCCTCAGAGTCAGAACCATGGCAGACAGACAGGTACAGGTGTCTCACCTTGTCTGTAGTCCCGTCCCTCAGAGTCAGAACTATGGCAGAGAGACAGGTACAGGTACAGGTGTCTCACCTTGTCTGTAGTCCCGTCCCTCAGAGTCAGAACCATGGCAGACAGACAGGTACAGGTGTCTCACCTTGTCTGTAGTCCCGTCCCTCAGAGTCAGAACCATGGCAGACAGACAGGTACAGGTGTCTCACCTTGTCTGTAGTCCCGTCCCTCAGAGTCAGAACCATGGCAGACAGACGGGTACAGGTGTCTCACCTGGTCTGTAGTCCCGTCCCTCAGAGTCAGAACCATGGCAGACAGACAGGTACAGGTGTCTCACCTTGTCTGTAGTCCCGTCCCTCAGAGTCAGAACTATGGCAGAGAGACAGGTACAGGTACAGGTGTCTCACCTTGTCTGTAGTCCCGTCCCTCAGAGTCAGAACCATGGCAGACAGATGGGTAAAGGTGTCTCACCTTGTCTGTAGTCCCGTCCCTCAGAGTCAGAACCATGGCAGACAGACATGTACAGGTACAGGTGCCCCACCTTGTCTGTAGTCCCGTCCCTCAGAGTCAGAACCATGGCAGACAGACAGGTACAGGTATCCCACCATGTCTGTAGTCCCGTCCCTCAGAGTCAGAACCATGGCAGACAGACAGGTACAGGTGTCTCACCTTGTCTGTAGTCCCATCCCTCAGAGTCAGAACCATGGCAGACAGACAGGTACAGGTGTCTCACCTTGTCTGTAGTCCCGTCCATCAGAGTGAAAACCATGGCAGACAGACAGGTACAGGTACAGGTGTCTCACCTTGTCTGTAGTCCCGTCCCTCAGAGTCAGAACCATGGCAGACAGACAGGTACAGGTGTCTCACCTTGTCTGTAGTCCCGTCCCTCAGAGTCAAAACCATGGCAGACAGACAGGTACAGGTACAGGTGTCTAACCTTGTCTGTAGTCCCGTCCCTCAGAGTCAGAACCATGGCAGACAGACAGTTACAGGTGTCTCACCTTGTCTGTAGTCCCGTCCCTCAGAATCAGAACCATGGCAGACAGACAGGTACAGGTACAGGTGTCTCACCTTGTCTGTAGTCCCGTCCCTCAGAGTCAGAACCAGCCCGTTGAGTCGTTGTATTTCTGCGTCTTTGATCTTGATGACCCTCATTAGCTCCATCTCGTGTTGCCGTAGTAACGTCTCCCGGGTGATTGACAGCTCCCTCGTCCTCTCCTCGTGCAGTTTGGTCTTCAGCTCCGTCAGAGCCAATGAGGATCGATGATGCTCCGCCTTCAGCTCCTGGCTCTTCTCCCGCTCCAGACGGCTCACCTGTGGGAGGGAGGGGTTAGTGCTTGTCATATGACCCGGGGAATTCTGGGACTTGTAGTCCTGACCTTGTTCTTCTCGTGCTGGAATTCTATCTGGATGTCCATCAGTTTGGCCCTCAGCTCCTCATTGGCCACTTGGAGAGTTGCCATGGCGTCAGGCCGCTCCCCCTTCCCTCGCCCCCCCACTCCTCTCTTTGACATCACCCCCACCTGCAGGCTCCGCTCCCAACACCTGTCCGTCAACCTTAGCTATGACTACATCTGAACACCACACACACACACACACACACACACACACACACACACACACACACACACACACACACACACACACACCACACACACACACACACACACACACACACACACACACACACACACACACACACACAACACACACACACACACACACACACACACACACACACACACACACACACATTACAGTACTACAGCAGTACAGCAGTGTATTATGGTACCATGGTACTATGAGTACTACAGCAGTGTGTTACAGTATTATGGTACCATAGTACTGTACTACAGCAGTGTGTTACATTATTGCGGTACCCTAGTACTGTGATACTACAGCAGTGTGTTACAGTATTATGGTACCATAGTACTATGATACTACAGCAGTGTTTTACAGTATTATGGTACCCTAGTACTGTGATACTACAGCAGTGTTACAGTATTACGGTACCCTAGTACTGTGATACTACAGCAGTGTGTTACAGTATTACGGTACCATGTTACTATGATACTAGATCAGTGTGTTACAGTATTACGGTACCATGTTACTGTGATACTACAGCAGTGTGTTACAGTATTATGGTAACATAGTACTATGATACTACAGCAGTGTGTTACAGTATTATGGTACCCTAGTACTATGATACTACAGCAGTGTGTTACAGTATTATGGTACCATAGTACTGTGATACTACAGCAGTGTGTTACAGTATTATGGTACCATAGTACTATGATACTACAGCAGTGTGTTACAGTATTATGGTACCCTAGTACTATGATACTACAGCAGTGTGTCACAGTATTATGGTACCATAGTACTGTGATACTACAGCAGTGTGTTACAGTATTATGGTACCATGTTACTATGATACTACAGCAGTGTGTTACAGTATTATGGTACCATAGTACTATGATACTACAGCAGTGTGTTACAGTATTATGGTACCCTAGTACTATGATACTACAGCAGTGTGTTACAGTATTATGGTACCATAGTACTATGATACTACAGCAGTGTGTTACAGTATTATGGTACCATGTTACTATGATACTACAGCAGTGTGTTACAGTATTATGGTACCATAGTACTATGATACTACAGCAGTGTGTTACAGTATTATGGTACCATAGTACTGTGATACTACAGCAGTGTGTTACAGTATTATGGTACCATAGTACTGTGATACTACAGCAGTGTGTTACAGTATTATGGTACCATGTTACTGTGATACTACAGCAGTGTGTTACAGTATTATGGTACCATAGTACTGTGATACTACAGCAGTGTGTTACAGTATTATGGTAACATAGTACTATGATACTACAGCAGTGTGTTACAGTATTATGGTACCATAGTACTGTGATACTACAGCAGTGTGTTACAGTATTATTGTACCATGTTACTATGATACTACAGCAGTCTGAGAGTCAGCAGTATCCGAGGCTCTGCAGCAGAGTTCAGCTGAGAGGAAAGGTAACACACACTACATGACTGTTACCAAGGCAACACACACACATACTCATACACACTGACAGTTCATGCCAAACTGAACATATACACACACACACACACACCAAACACTTACCGGCCAATAGTCAGCCTGCAAATCTTCATCGCTGAGTGTGTGTCTCTATAAATGTGTGTGTGTTTGTTGCTCTATAAATGTGTGTTTGTCAATAGGTTAGCTTTATATCCTCAGAATGCTAACCAGCTAGCTTCACTGCAGCCATCTAAGTGTGCGTGTGTGTGTGTTGCCAGCATCAGACTCCCTCCACCTGTCTTTCTCTCTCTGTGTGTGTCTGTCTGTTAGCAGTTAGCTCCTTTCAGTGTGTGTGTGTCAGTGCATCTCTGCAGCCTCTGCTGCCGTCCTCCTCTTCCTCCTCTTCGTCCTCTTCCTCCTCCCAGCATGCTTCAGGGTGACTCACAGCTGCTGTCTGTCTCCCTCTGCTGTATATCTGTGATATACACATGACCAATGATAAACACACACACACACACACACACACACACACACACACACATCATGTATACATCACTTCAGGGGACATTACATTGACTTACATGCATTTCCTGGAGACTTATCCTACCCTTAACCATAACCAACACATGCCTAACCCTATATAGAGGCAATGGACGTCCACTCTCGGGAGACGTCCGAGAGTGGTGCGGTTACCCAAAGTGACAGACCTAATTTTACACAGGAAAAGGGTTTGAAACGTTGGGAAAAGTGATGTAAATAGAGGCAGAGTGAACCTGTGAACCCAGAGAGCAGGCTGTGCAGAAAATGTAAAAATGTATCCGAAAATAGTGCCTCATAAGGCGGGTAGAGTCCCCTGTCAACTCCTCTTACATTCCTCCAGAGTCAAAATAGTCAAATTCACTTTTTGGAAAACCAGTGAGACCCAGGAAAAAGGGGGGGGGGGGGGGGGAAATGAACAAAAGTATACGAAAATAGAGCCTCATACACACACACACACACACCCATGGTCCAGGGGAGAGGCTTTTGAAATCGTGCATTATGGCAAAAATTCAGAAAAAAAGATGAATCAAACCTCGCTCTATCCTGTTGAGGTTGACGCGAGACACATGTGTGTGACTCGAAGACACATGTGTGTGAAAGTACAAAATGTCACTTTTTTCAGGAATAAGTGTTTGAAATGCGGGGAAAAGTGCATCAAAGGACGGACTAATGACCTCCAGCATGCCTCCATAACTTGGGCATTTAGGTTATTTCACACCTCCAGGAGAGAGACCGCGAAAACCACCTCTATGTGGCCCCTCACAGACCACCAAAGGACGAACTACAGACCTCCAGCATGTCTCCCTCACATGGGCACTCTGCTTATTTCACACTACCAGGAGAGAGACCAGTAATGGCACCTCTATGTGGCCCCTCACAGAGCCCCAAAGGACGGACTAATGACCTCCAGTATGTCTCCCTCACATGCGCACTTCCCTGGGCCCCCAGACTTAAGCACTCCCCCGCGGACTAAACCCAGATGATCACACCCTCCAGAACCTCATGCCCCTGGTAACCCTAAAAGGGGGATGGATTTTGCGGTGCTTTACCGTCCGCCCATCGGCATCCATATTCGGCCTTATTCACGGCACCACCACCCCCTCCTGTGGAGGATGTTCTCATGCCCCTGGTAACAATTAAAGGTGGTGGATTTTGTGGTGCTTTTCTGTCAGCCCATCAGCATCCATATTCGGCCTTCTTCACGGCACCACCACCCCCCCTTCTGTGGAGGATATTCTCATGCTCCTGGTAAACCTTTAAATAGTCTGATACTACCAGGGCTCATCACTGCACTTTACAAGCCAAAAATAATGTTTAAATGGTCGGGAAAAGTGTTTTTAAACGTCTGGAAGAGAGTTTTAGCCTGTCATTTTGCACGATATCATTTAACATTGAACCTCTCCTGGAAATGCACAGAATATGTGCATTTTCAGGAGAGGGTCAATGTTAAATGATATCGTGAAAAGGACAGGCTAAACCCCAGGAATAAGTGTTTGAAAGGAGGGAAAAGTTGTTTTAAATAGTCTGATACCTCCAGGGCGCATCACCACATTTTACAAGCCAGGGAAGGTGTTTGAATCCTGGGTAAACATTATTTAATTAGTCTGAAAACTGGCACTGTATCTGCCCCTGGGAACCTTCAAGGTTATATTAATGTTTTATTATTTATTTAATTATCACACGATTTTTACAAAAACAGTATACACAATATACATAATAAACATAATACAAACATGATTAGCGGGGGCCCGGGGGGCCATATTAGCTGTCTAACTTGTACGGTGCACCGAGGGAAAAAGGTTGAGTCCACGGCCCCTACCCCTCATCAGGAGTATCAACCGGCCCTGAAGAAGAGGTATCGCTGCTCTCCGCCCCTGAGTCCTCTTCTGAGGTATCTGACAGCAGTAGAACTCCTTCCGATGATGCTGCTGCAGCTGCTGCAGCTGCTGCCGCCCTGAACATGGAGCAGATCTTCAATCCCTCCTTTATTCCAGGCGTATTTGCGTAGAACCGGTCTGCAGTGCTCGTTGTGACACATAAACCTGGCGAGAATCGACCTGCTTTCTGGATCTTTGTGATGCTTGATGATGTGGGTCATATCAGACTGGGTGAGCCTGCATCCCCTGTCCCTTCCCAGTGGACCAGTGATTTGGGGGAGAGGGCCAGTCCTTAGCCAGATTAGCTTTCAGCTTATTGTAGACAGACGCACGGGTCTTCTGGCATACAGGGGTCTCACTACCGGAGGCTTCTGCGGACCGCATGACAGTCTTGACCGGGGTCTTGAGAGGGGTATTGCTGCCGGAGACTGCTGGTGAATGCATGACAGTCTTGGCCGGGGTCTTGAGAGGGGTCACACTACTGGAGGCTTCTGGGGACCGCATGAGAGTCTTGACCGGGGTCTTGAGAGGGGTCTCACTACCGGAGGCTTCTGCGGACCGCATGACAGTCTTGGCCGGGGTCTTGAGGGGTATTGCTGCCAGAGGCTTCTGGTGAATGCATGACAGTCTTGACCGGGGTCTTGCTGCCGGAGGCTACTGTGTTTATGCTGGAGGTACTTGAGATTGCCAGGCTCTTAACCCTTCTCTTGCGATAGGTCATACCCCCCTTCCCATGCTATTTTCGGTCAAAATTGACCGGTGTGTTTTGCACAGTGATATCTCTGGAACCCCTTATCCAATTTTGATGGTTGACATCTCATTTGAACAGTCAAAGCAAGTAGAATCAAGGGGTGACAGACAGAATGACACCAGGGGTGAATTTCATATTATTTTTGGCAGGAAGTTAAAAGATAGTGCTTATTTTACATTACTGTATATTATAAAAATGCTTGCCATGTAGGCTGTGTTTACTGGAGATGGAAATGCTTTAGTTGGTGTTGTGGCTGATATTCTTCCCGTTCCAATGATGTATGGGATGTATTGATTTGATACAAGCAAGCCAGTGTTTCATGTCATGGTCCGGACCCACCGGTGGGCCCATCAAGTTCAGCATTCACTGTGATGAATATAAAATAAGACACTGATACCGTTTTCCTCAATGAACATTTATTGAAAGAGAAATATACCATAACAGAACGTGTGTGTGTGTGCATGTGCGTGCTCACGCGTATTCACGCACATAGTTGGCAATGCAAAATTGTGGAATGTCATCTCAGGCTCCTCTCCCTCAGGGGCTTCTATCTCAGGGGCCCTCTACCTCCTCTCCCTCAGGGGCCTCTCCCTCAGGTGCCTCTTCCTGGTCTTTTGTAGGCTCATACTGTGGGGGGTGTGTGGGCTGTGGCTAAGTGGATAGAGTGCTGGACTTCGAATCAGAGGGTAGCAAGTTCGAGTCCCACTGCAGTCAGCATGTCGTTGTGTCCCTGGGCAAGACACTTCACCACAAATTGCTCCTGTGGGGATTGTAAGTAAGTCACTTTGGATAAAAGCGTCTAACAAATTACATGTAATGTAATATAATAGTCTGGATCGCTGTTGTCTTCCATTTCTGAGACATCTTCCTCTATCTCCTCTTCATCTGGTTCGATCTCCTCTTCATGTGGTTCAAACTTTCTTGCGCATTTAGCGCGAGAAAGTGAGAGGTTTGTGTTTCTCGAGGGGCACAGAGCTTGCACCTGTGAGAAGGTATGATACATTGTATCATACAGCCCGAGAAAGGGAGAGGTTCCCGTAACGCGCGTGTGTGTGTGTGTATATAGATGTTTTCCATCTGCAGGATGAACATAATACACTCAAACCCATGCGTTTTCTATGGCGGTCAATTCTGACCAAAAACATCAAGGGTGTTTCACTGTTGAATAAATCACTCAACATTCAATGCCAGTGATGATCATCAAGTGTATATGTTCAGATGCCTAGTGTGGAGGATAACATAAGGTATTGAGGCAATTGGATGAAAAACACAATATTTATGATTAAAACAAAAGTAATTCGGTCACTTTTGACCAGAAACGCAAGAGAAGGGTTAAATCGTATACATTCTTCCTCTTCCTCAAGCACAGCAGCAGTGGCACTCTGCTTCCTGGGTTTTAGCCCCTTTTTCAGCCTGGAGCGTAGGGTCTTCACCTCATCAATGAGGGCATCCTTCTGTGCCCTCAATGCCACATTTTCCAGCATCACCTGCCTGCAGTCCTCTTCGTCACACTCAGTATGTGTGACGAGGGGCCGGGATCCCACCTCAGCCGGTGCGCGCCGGCCCTCGCTTTCATTGCGCCACGGGGTTTTGAATGCACCCTCTGACTCGCGCGCGCGTTAGACTCCTTGGTCCGTGTTTCAAGACGGGTCGGGTGGGTTGCCGACATCGCCGCAGACCCCTGAAGCCTTTTACGTGAGCCGATCCCCACTGTGACGGCACGACGCGGTCGGAGCGCACTGAGGACAGTCCGACCCGGTTGATAGTCGCACCGGGAACAGGGGGCCCCGTCCCTCCCCCAGAGGGGGAGAGAGGGCGCAGCGAGCACTTAGTCCACGGCCCCAGGAAGCGGCGAGGTCCGGGCGGAGGGCGCTGTAAAGCACGCGGCCGGAGCCGCCTTCGCCCCGAGCCTTTCCAGGCCGACCCAGAGCCGGTCGCGGCGCACCGCCGCGGAGGAAATGCGCCCGGCGGGGGCCAGCCAGCACCGGGGAGAGGTCCCACGAGGAGATCCTCCCACACCGAGCGGCCGACCCTAACCCGCCGAGTTGAATCCCCCCGGGCGGACTGCGCGGACCCCACCCGTTTACCTCTCAACGGTTTCACGCCCTCTTGAACTCTCTCTTCAAAGTTCTTTTCAACTTTCCCTTAAGGTACTCGTGCCGGTATTTAGCCTTAGATGGAGTTTACCACCCGCCAGAAGGACTCAGGCGGGTGGTAAAAAAAAGGGGAGGAAAAAGGGGAGCCAGTCCCCCAGATA